GGGTTTATGGTGATATTGTGTCTTCTATTCATTTCAACATGGTTTTTTTTTCCCTTATTTGCTCAATATGTGTAGGAGTCAGCTACTTTCTGGGTTTCTTTCAGAAAGAATTGTTTTGTATGTAGCTGTAGATCCAATGTGCCTGTGGGAGGAGGTAAGTTCAGGAGCTTCCTATGTTGCCATCTTGAACTAGAACTCTTAGAAAGTGACTGTTATATTATACAAATCATCTATACGTATGAAGATAATAAGATTTCTATGTGGAACCCAGAGGATTAAGAATAATTAGGGTTTAAAATATATACAAATTAGAGAAACTTACTGCCTTTGCCAAGTGATCAAAGTTGACATCAACAAGAATGGGACAGACTGTCCTCACATTCCTCCTGCTATCCTGTGCTGAAGACACACCATCACTTGTGTCACATTCTTGCCAAAAACACATCCCATGAATCTAATAATGAGGTCACATCAAACCCAAATTGAGGCATGTTCTACAAAGCAGCTGGCTTGTACTCGGCAAAAATGTCAAGGTTTTTAAAGAGAAAGAAACACAGAGAAACTGTTCTTGGTCAAAGGAGATTAAAGAGGTGACTAAGTGTCATGGGATCATGAACTATATCCTAGACCAGCCCAGGGAAACATATAACTTTTTTAAAAAAACACTGCACAATTGACATTTAAATGTGGGTTGTGTAGATGACTTTTGTGTAATGTTAAATTTCTTTATTTTGATGATGGTAATGCCATCATGTAAGAGAATGTCCTAGTTCTTAGGAAATGTATATGAAGTATTTAAGTGTAAAAGGGCACAATATATAAAACTTACTGTCAAGATGGTTCAGGGAGAAAACAGACTTGGGAGAGGGAGGGAGGGAGGGAGGGAGGGAGAGAGAGAGAGAGAGAGAGAGAGAGAGAGAGAGAAGAGAGAGAGAGAGAGAGAGAGAAATAGAAACAATTGTTGAATCTGTGTAAAGAGTATATGGGGGTTCTTTGTACTATTCTTGCAACTTTTCTGCATTCTTGGAACTTTTAAGGTATTTCAAAATAAAACGTTAAAATGTATCCTGTATATAGACATATATACACACATATATGTATGCATGCAAATATGTATAGAATTTAAGCCTCAAGTTACTGTACATAATCTTTTCTGTACACAAAAGCCATTCTCATACACCTGCAAGCTTCACACACACACATTACCTATGGAAAGTCTGGCATGCTGCTGCTCTCATGTTGTCAAATAAGTCCATGAACTCACCGCACTCTGAAGGCCAAGGAGCAATGGTGAATACTATGTTTGTAGTTCCTACTCTAGTGACTTTGCTACTGTGGGAAAGGATTCAATTCATGTCCTGCCTATAGTTAATTTCAGGGCAAAGTCTTTGCAAGTGTGCCGATGCTGCCTTTGTATTCAGTCTGTGAGAGCATTACAAATTCAGGGAAATCCCACCGCAGCTCACAGAACACATCCATTAGTTTTGATGCTTTCTCCCCAGAACACATTTTGCTTGCTGGTGCACAATCTGCACCAGCTTGATCCATTTTAATTTTTAACTGAAATAATTCCCTCCCCTCCAGCCTGTGCCAGGTGTGAAACAGAAAGCCAAATGCCCTCCTCAGAGTCCTCCACACACAGTTGTCTTAGACATGGTGAAGTTTTTAAAATTCCTCAGTTCCCTAGTTGAATGCCATCAAAACAGCCAGTCTGGTATTTCAACCAAAGGCTGGTTTGGGGAATGGCAGGAAGGATAAATGATGTATTCATGTAAATAGGATAAAAATCCTGGCAGGA